TTGCTCAGGCTGGACTAGAACTCCTGAGCTCAAACAATCCGCCCGCCTTGGCCTCCCAGAGTGCTAGGATTACAGGCGTGAGCCACCGCGCCCGGCCTAATTCACTCATTTCAAGTGGACAATTCAATGGTTTAATTTGTAACCACCACAATCAATTTTAGAACATTCTTACCACTACAAAAAGAAATGCTGTACCTGTTAGCATTCACTCCTCATTCACCCCACCCTCACCTCCTGGCAACTGCTAATCTATTTTCTATCTCTATGGATTTGCCTACTTTGGGTATTTCATGCAAATCATGCAGTATGTAGCTTTTGTGTCTGGTTGATTTCATTCAGCATATTTTCAAGGTTCATCAATATCATAACATGTATCAACACTTCATTCCTTTTATTCATTTACAGCCAAATAATATTCCATTGTATGAATATACAGCATTTATTTATTCATTTATCAGTAGATGGACACTTGGGTTGTTTCTACTTTTTGGTTATAAATAATGCTGCTATGAACATTTATATACAAGTTTTTGTGTGAACATATATCTTCAATTATTTTGAGTCTCTATCTAGGAGTGGAATTGCTAGGTCTTATGGTGCTACTATGGTTTGAATATGGTTTGTTTGGCCCCATCAAGTCTCATGTTGAAATTTGATCCCCAGTGTTGGAGGTGGGGCCTGGTTGGAGGTGTTTGGATCATGGGAGTCGATCCCTCTGATGACTTGGTGCCATTCTCACAGGTGTGAGTGGGTTCTCATTCTCAGTTCTTGTGAGAACTGGCTGTTGAAAAGAGCCTGCCACCTCCCCAACTCTTGCCTTGTGATCTGCACATGCTGTCTCCCCTTCGCCTTCCACCGTGAGTGGAAGCAGCCTAAATCCCTCGCCAGAAGCAGTTGCTGGCACCATGATCCTTGTACAGCCTGCAGAATCATGAGCCAAATAAACTTCTTTTCTTTGTAAATTCCTCAGCCTCAGGTATTCCTTTATAGCAACACAAGATGAACTAAGACATATGGTATTAATATTAATAATTCTATGTTTAACCTTTTGAGGAACTGCCAGACTATTTTCCAGAAAGGCTGCACCATTTTACATTCCCGCCAGCAGTATATAAGGGTATCAATTTCTCAACATGCTCATCCACACTAGTTATTATCTTTTTGATTATACCCATCGTAGTGGGTGTAAAGTGATACCTCGTTGTGATTTTGATTTGATTTCCCTGATAACTCATGATATTGAGCATCTTTTCATGTGTTTATTGAATATTTGCATTATCTTCTTTGGAGAAATGTTTATTCAGATCTTTTGTCCATGTCTTTTTTTTTTTTGAGAGACAGGGTCTTGCTGTGTTGCCCCAGCTAGAGTATAGTGGCATCATCATAGCTCACTGCAACCTCCAACTCCTAGGCTCAAGCAATCCTCCTCTCAGCTTCCTGAGTAGCTGGGACTACAGGTGTGCACCACCACACCCAGCTAATTTGTGTATTTTTTGTAGAGACGGGGTCCCACTCTTGCACAGGGTGATCCTCAAACTCCTGACCTGAAGTGATATTCCCATCTCAGCCTCCCAGAGTGCTTGGATTACAGGTGTGAACCAACATGCCTGGCCCCTATGTCCATTTTTTAATATTTGTTTTTGTATTATTTAGTAGTAAGGGTTAGTTTTTTTCTTTTTTAAGAGACAGGGTCTCACTATCACCAGGTTGCCCAGGCTGGACTCAAGCTCCTGGGCTCAAGTAATCCTCCCACCTCAGCCTCTCCAGTAGCTAGGACTTCAGGTGAGTGCCACCATGCCTAGCTTGGAAGGATTCTTTATATGTTCTATATACAAGTCCCTTATCACTGCAGTCCCCAAATCCCCCCCACCCCTGATACAGAAGGAGGCAAGAGGCGAGCGAGTGAAGCCCCACCTGAACCCATAGCTGCACCCCATCTCTGGCATCACTGCCCAAGCCCTCCCCCCTAATCCCCCTCAGATCAGCAGCGACATCAGACCCTCATAGGAGAGTGAACCACACTGCAAACTGCACATATGAGGGATCCAGGTTGCTTTTTCCCCATGAGAATCCAATGCCTAATGATCTGAGGTGAAGCCGAGGTGGTGACCTCCCACAGGAAAAACTGTCTTCCACGAAACTGGTCCCTGGTGTCAGAAAGGTTGGGGACCGCTGCCTTATCAGATACACAATTTTCACGTGCCCTTTGAAGTATAACAAAATCTATTTTTGAAGCTTTGTAAAAAATCATTTATTCACAAAATCATTAAAAGGTGAAAAGACTAAGTTATACTTTACCTACTACATCTTACAGAAGGAAAATTACTGCTATCATGGTAAATGTAACATTAGGGATATTTAGTGATTTTGGAGCCAAAGTCTCTTCTTGAAAGCCAAGGCTATTGCACTTAAGACAAAGATAAAGGACCCGGGCTAACTCTGAAAGAGAAAAGCTTAATGGAAAGAGAAGAAAATAGGCAATGTTTCCATAGCTCTTGATGGGGTGGGGACGGCAAAATGGTAGTTAAAGAATAAAAGGCCACAAGGAGACAAAATGTGGGAGGGAGCTACCTGGAGGACACAGTGAGGAACAGAAGATTCATGGAGAAGTTAGTCTCCTTAGGATTATTAGAAGAATGTGAAACACAGGTAAGTTATAGTTCTCACAGGTAACACATTAATACAGAGGTATCATAGACCTCTTTGAGCTACTGCTACAATGTATGTGTCCTTTATTGCTCCCTTTTTCTACTCCTCTTGATAAATATTTTTAAGATTGCATAGGCAATAGTTAGGTTTGATTCTCTCTAAATCAGATCGAATTCTAAATCTCTGGTACATTTCTCAAAAAAGTAAGAATCACAAAGGTACACTGGAATAACACTGAAAAAGGAATTCTCCATAAAAGTCACTTGTGTGAGTCAGTCTGAGTGACTCATTCTCAAACTAGTTTGGTTATTTTTAACAGAATCAAAACCTAATAGAGGAGAATAAAAAAAGACATGGCCCTGTTACAAAGTACATGACCCGAAGCAAATACTTTTCAACACTAATATGTAGTCATAAGAAAACAGCTTATTTACTTAAAACATACCTTCCACTCTGAAGCTGGATATGGAGGGTGGTGAATGGTTCTACACGGATGAGATAGTGCATGACGCCCGCAGAATTTGAATAGTGAGTACCATAATGAAACTTATCAATAGTTCCCATAGGATCCTCAAAATTTTCATATCTATAAAGAAAACCCAAAATTTTATAAGCACAATAGTAAAATTACATAAGGGGGCATAAGTTTATATTGTATTACTGATAACAGTCTTTAAAAATTCAGTCCTTATTTATATCCTTTATTATTCATAATTATTAACATCACATGATTATTCATATTATCACATCATATTAATAAATGAAAAGTTTCATTCCTTAATACTTTTTTTCTGAACAATGAAAAATCACTAACGCTGGATTCTGGAACAGTTTTGCATCATGCAATAATACATGTTCACTGTAGAAAAATTAGAAAATGAAGATGATTAAAACAGAAGAAACTTAAAATCAACTATAATTCCATGTCCCAGAGATAATTAACATTAACTTTTTGGTGAATATTTGTCTATCCTAATGTATACATTAATATACAAATATTTTTTAACATAAAAGTACTGTACATAATGTATTGTTCACAACTTATTTTTTCATTTACGAATTTCCTATTGACATCTTTCTAAGCGATTGAATAGTCTATTTTTAACATGTACATGATATTGAACTGTATGGATGTACCACAATTTAACTATTTCTTTACTTTTAGACACTTTGGTTGTTTCCATTTTTCTGTTAGTATAAGCAGTGTGATAACTAGACATCCTTTTGTGCCAAGGTAACAGAAAAAATATGGGGAACCAGTCAGGAATTGTGGAAATTAATGCCTAGAAATCTAAACGTAAAAGAAAAAGGAGATGGTGGATAGGAAAAAGACTTAAACAAGATTATTAGCAAAGGATATCTAGTGATTCTGCAAACTCTGTGTCTGATACTTACATGCATAATTGTCTCAATGGTGACTTCTGAATTAGTGTGTATAAAATCTGAATAAGAATGAAAAGTTTTACGGATGCAATAAACACTGAATTTTTAAAACCAAAATAGTAATCTGAGCCAGGCACAGTGGCTCACGCCTGTAATCCTAGCATTCTGGGAGGCCTAGGTGAGAGGATCAATTGAGGTCAGGAGTTCGAAAACAGCCTGAGCAAGAGTGAGACTCTGTCTCAAAAAAAAAAAAAAAAAAAAAGGGACATTAAGCCCTGGATATGCTCTCCCCAACATGATAAAGAATTCGACTGAATAAGCGAAGGGTTAAACATTAACATTACATGTTAGGGGTTGAAAAATAAGTTAGTAATGATCCTTTAATATTGTAGAATTTCCAGTAGTCAGAATCTTGCCAATTTCCTTATTTATGTTTACTTTTAATTTTTTTTAAATTTTTTAATTTCAGTATATTATGGGGGTACAAATGTTTAGGTTATGTATATTGCCTTTGCCCCACCCGAGTCAGAGCTTCAAGCATGTCCATCCCATAGACGGTGCACACCTCACCCACTGGGTGTGAATATACCCATCCCCACCTCCCCCCTCCCATCTGCCTGACATCCGATGAATGTTATTACTATATGTGCACTTAAGTGTTGATCAGTTAGTACTAATTTGATGGTAAGTACATGTTTATTTATGTTTAAAAATAAATGTAAAACTACCTCAAAGAAAAAGTATTTGGACATTTTAAGTATATTTCCTGCCATGCTTCTCTATGAATTTTCAAATACTATAATAACTTATACCCTTGTCATTATTTTCAATTTGCCTACTCTTCTATGCTCTAACTCAGGAGTCAGCAAACTTTATGTATACAAGGTCAAAGAAATATTTTTGGCTTTGTGAGCAATATGGTCTCTATTGGAACTACTCAAATCTGCTGCTACACTTTGAAAGTACCTAAACATAGATGATATGTAAATGAATTGGCTGGCTGTGTTCCAATGAAACTTTATATATGTGAGTTTGTCCATGGATTTGGTTCTGTTGACCAAATCTAAACCCTCACCTTATCTAACTCAAAGACTTTTAAACTAAGAAGAGTATATGACTGAAATAGCATATGGCCATTTTTGCTTCTCTAGTAAACAATGTAGTCTGATAAATTCTCTTACCAATTCAAATTTGACTCATTTATCTTACTTCCTAACAGCACTTCCCTGGAAGGCAAGATTAGTACCATCAGTTAAGCCCTTTCACTAAGAAATCTACAGACAGAATGAACTTTAAATAATCTATAGGACATTACAAAAATGTACTGAAAGACACTATTTAGGCTTCTTCATTGGGACTTGCTGAATCAAATTTCTAATCTATTTCTTACCATTTTGATTTTCTAAAAATTCGGGGAAATAGAAGAATTCAGGAATAAGTTCTTTCACATCATATGGATTATCCATAAGAGCTTGCCAGGTAGCCGGGATGGAATGGAACTGTCTATCTGCGCAGTCAAACCTGCATGTAGAAATTGAAAGAGAACATTAAATATTGAATGAGAGCAAAAACAAAGCATGAAACAAAACCTTTAAACTCCCTTTAGGTTTCCTAATGATTAGAGCTGCTCTTTTCTTAATTTTTCTCTTTAGTTTTCACTTTATTTATTTATTTATTTTTATTGATACAGGGTCTCACCCCATCACCCAAACTGGAGTGCAGTGGCTCATTCATAGCTCACTGTAACCTTATCCTAGGCTCAAGGGATCTTCTTATCTTAGCCCCACACCCAGCTATTTTACAGAGACACGGTCTTGCTATGTTGCCACGATTTCCTCTCCTTATTATGATAATCTATCTTTCATATTTTGTTGTCAGGAACTAAATACTGTAATTTTAATCACTGATATCATCTTAGTTGAAAACCAAATCACACTGAAGAAAAACTTCAAGTAAATTAAATACTAAAAAAATACCTAAAAACATGGCCTAATTTTTGCTGAGTAAAATCACAAAAAGTGAATGATATTTCAATATTTGAAAATCACAGAGTTTAAATATAACTCTAAATATTATAGTACTAATATATTTGGTTAATAGATCTATAGGAATGCTGCTGACTTAATTCTCGATATAGGAATATCTTTACAAACTCTTCTGCTTATTTATTTATTTACTTATTTAGTAAGTAGAGATGGGGTCTCACTCTTGCTCAGGCTGGTCTTGAACACCTGACCTCAAGTGATCCTCCTGCCTTGGCCTCCCAGAGTGCTAGGATTACACGTGTGAATCCTAGACAGGCCAAGAAACTTCTGCTTAAACCCAGAGGGTGAGTTAGGGAAATAGCTCTGTGGTTATAGCTTTTGTATTTAACTTGCATATACTATCATCTTAATTTTATTTAATTTTTAATTAATCTTATTTATTTAAATTTCATCATGGGCACTCTGAGTCTACAGTGGTTGGAACAAACTCAAGTGATCATGCTGTGATTGTACTAAGAATTCCCTAATCACACAAAGAATAAATCCCTTCTGTTTTATTTCCTTTAATATAGTTTTCCCAGATTTATGAAGTAAATATGTAGTGGCCTCGAGTCTGATCAGGTATAGCCATGTTATAAGGGAAAATGACATTGATGACTAATTTGATTGTTTTTTTTGGTGCCTATCAATCTTGGTTTGAGGCAGAACTGATCTTAACGGAACATTGAATATAATTATAAACAGATATCGGACCATCTAAAAAGTCTAATGGTGGTATAGTCACATTCAAGGAGAGGTATAGCTTTAATTGAGATAAAATTAACATGCCATATAATTCACTCATTTCTTTTTTTTTTTTTTTTTTTTGAGACAGAGTCTCACTCT